TTCATCCATCTCCCGGCCCAGTCCTCTCCATCAGTGTGCGGCGGGAACCCCCAGCTTCTAACCCTTGGGCAGTAGTTCCGCCCCCGGGGGGCTGTCCATGGCTGTGCCTGTGCCGGGAAAGAGGAGATAAAGAACCGGACAGGCACTGCCATCTGCTATCTGAAGGTCCATGGCAGGCTGCCGAGGTCCACAAAAGTGCGGAAACTTGGACGGCCGCTGCTGTTTAAAAATTTAAAGGGCCGGTATCGGCCTTAAGAATCGGGGCATTTTCACAAGTACAAGTACTCGTGAAAATGCCTGGTATCGGCCCCGATATTGATACTAGTATCGGTACATCCCCAATCCTGATCGTTCGGTTCTCCAGGTAATCGCATCCATCCCATGCTGTTCTTCCCCCTCTAAGCTCTTTGATAGCTCCTCAGCTCCACACCAGCATAGATGGACAAGATTTCAGCTTCAAATCACCTGGAACTTTCCACCTCACCTCCAGTCTCCAATATATTGGGCAAGAATTTGATGCACAGTCATAAAAGAATAACAAAACCATTGTAGTGTAGTAACTCCATTTAAACAAAATAAAAGCAATTGCAAATGCCAGCTCAAGAATGAGGTTGTAATTCCTTCCTTCTGTGCTGGTGTGGGATGCAGGATTGGTTAAAGAACTAGGAGCAGCACGGGACAATTACTGTTGCATATGCAGTTACCTGGAGGACCAATGATCGGGAGGCTCCAGCGTTTATAGACCTTCACAAATGCAGGTCTGACATTTCCGGTGAGTGCTGAATCTGATGGGTATATGTTTGTAATTGAAAGTGCAGCTACTGTCGAGATCCACCCAGCTGCGTGATTGACAGCTGGCTCTGCCTATCTAGAGGCAGAGCCAGCTGTACCCGCCCACTCTCCCATCCGTTCCGCCAGTCAGCGCTAGAGGATCGGACAGTGGAGGGGGGGGGAATCCCTGAAGGGAGCCATGAGTGACAGTCACGGCTCCCTGCAGGGATAGATCGAGAAGTGAGCGAGCGACGGCATGTGTTTGCTCATTCCCGATCTACTGAGCCGACCTGTGACAGTTTCATTGTCACACGTCGGCTCAGATTATGAGGCTGAGTGAAAGTCACTCGCCTCATAATTCTCATTTAACTCAAAAACATAAGGTATATTTTGGCAATCAAGTATGCACAACTGAAGTTAATAGTAATATACAAATATCAAGGGATACTTGAGATAAGCTAGGTTAGCTATAATCCGAAATCAACTGCACTCCAGCATACAGACCTTGACGGAGGTGACCACACGGATGGCGTCCTATCATAGAGTGCTAGTGACTTCTATTATGGGCTATAAGCTAGGTAAGCTGACCCAAGCCACAGGGTTCTGGGATTTGTATTAAGCAATGCATATGCTAATAAAGATGAGTAGCACTGGTGTGAATAATGTTTATATTTTCTGCTGGTTTTTTTTTTTGGTGTCTTTGTTTACTTTCCTGTGTTTAATGCAGAAACCACGATTGGTCCGGAAGGCACAGGCCTCCAGTCTGGTTGGCTCAGCCATAGGAACAGGAATGCTTTTCATACTGCTGTTTGTGATCGCAGTGGTTATGATAACGATGCGGAAAAAGCGCGCCTCCCAGGGAACGTACAGCCCAAGCCGGCAAGAGAAAGAAGGCGCTAGAGTCGAGATGTGGAATGTCCTCAAGCTGCCGCCTACGGAAAGACTGATCTAATGATGGCCAGTGAAATTTAGACAACCAAACCATTACGAAGATCAGCTGCAAGACACACACAAAAAAAAAGAGAACCTGGTATCCTAATGCTTCTAGCGAGTGCGGGGAGTCTCTGAAGGATGAAACGTCAAGTGCTGGACAAAGCCATTGCACAAAAGATGTCGCCTCGTGTTGTATTTGTGCTGAGCATATGGTTTCAGCGTGACAGAACCAAAGAAGAACAATTGAAAACACCCTTTATAACTGAGGCTGCATAAACCTCCATCCAATACACCCAGACTATGCTATCCTTGTCAAGGATAAAGATATACCTACTGCAAGAACATCTCCATGTAACACAGCCTTATTAGTACGGGGGGGGGGGGGGGGGGGGAAAAAATGATCTTATCCTTGAGGTGGGGGGGGGGGGGGGGGGGGGGTCGGAAATAAATTGTAAACTTCTGAGTTTAAGGAGGTATCCAAGGTACGGGTTCCAAGAGTGGGTCCCCTCCCACGTGCAAACTTTCCCCCATGTCCTAATTCAAGAACAGGGGACCTAATGACACTATATATACAAAATTTGTGGACACTTGATCATCACATCTACATCTAACTAGCCAAAATCTGTTTTTCCCCCTCCTAATTATTGGGTTTAGGAATATTCAGTGAAGGGTACTGGTAATGCCACCGCATACAAAGACATTTTAAACAATGGTGTGCAAACAACCTTGTGGGGATGCTTTTGGAAATCCCCTCTTCTGTTCCAGCATGAATGTGCCCTTGTGTACAAAACCTAGGTCCATAAAGACACGGTTTGATGGGTTTGGTGCCTTACATCGGCTAAAATCAGCTGTACGTCGGCTGCTTTCGGTCAGCCGAACAAGCTCTGCGCGTTGGAGCTGAGCCGAAGTGCAGAAGGAGTTTGACCGGATCGGCTGAGCCGAAGCTCCGGTAGCTCACTCGCTGCCGTTCGCCCCCTATTCTCATAGGGGCCGAACGGCAGTAAGCATTTGGCTCGGCTATCCTGCTCGGTACCTCCGAGGTAGCAAGCAGAATAGTAAAAAAAAGTTCAATGAGGAAAAGAAAAATGTTGAATAATTACTTTAACAATAAAAAAAAAGGAAAATGTAAAAAATTTTAAATTCAAGAAAAGGAAAAAAAAAAAAAGATGCATGCCGACCCGACCGCACGCGATGAACTCCCGCCACATAATGTCAAATCTGACAGATGCCGGCAAAATAAAAAAAAAAAAACAATTAATAAAAAAAAACAATTGGCAGGAGCGAGCGGTGACATCATCGCTCGCTCCGCCCAACTGTTTCCTATTGGGCGGCACCTGCCAGAATCTTCTAGCTGGTCCTGGCCAATAAATAACAACTGGGCGGACGTCATGGCTCGGCTCCACCCAGTTGTTATTGTTTAATGACATTGTCATTACAACTGGCCGGAGCGAGCGGTGACATCATCGCTCGCTCCGCCCAACTGTTTCCTATTGGGCGGCACCTGCCAGAATCTTCTAGCTGGTCCTGGCCAATAAATAACAACTGGGCGGACGTCATGGCTCGGCTCCACCCAGTTGTTATTGTTTAATGACATTGTCATTACAACTGGCCGGAGCGAGCGGTGACATCATCGCTCGCTCCGCCCAACTGTTTCCTATTGGGCGGCACCTGCCAGAATCTTCTAGCTGGTCCTGGCCAATAAATAACAACTGGGCGGACGTCATGGCTCGGCTCCACCCAGTTGTTATTGTTTAATGACATTGTCATTACAACTGGGCGGAGCGAGCCGTGAGGTCACGGTTCGCTCCGCCCAGCAGTCATTTGCGTGGAGAAACATCGGCCCTTCTACACGCTTGGGCTCAGTCGAGCTGGAGTATAAACCTTTCGGCTTGGCTGTGCTGCTCGGCTGCGCTACAGGCTATTGTGAATAGCCCGTACAGCAGCCCTTTGGTTCGAACTGAAGGGCTCAGGCGGCCAAAGCCACCTGAAGGATCAGCCGAAGCTACGGGGGGATCCTTCGGCTCCATAGTGAATAACCTTTTTAGTGCGCATGCACACTGGAGGAAGCGTCCTCCATGCCCTTTGCTTTACATGCATAATTACACAGCACAGCTTCCGTGCACCAACAATGTTTAGGGGAAGAGCCATTTGAATAGTGGCTGTAAATCGCTGTTGGACCGGCACTAGAAATAAGGCAAAAGGCAGGGAAATGGCAGAATCACTCATACCAACTAAGTCGGATTTAAAGGAACATGCTGTGAAAGTACACAGATTATGGGAACCTTGCAAACGACAATTTTCCATTTTTGCCTGGAGTTCTGCTTTTTTGCACTGGATCACCCTGCTTCTAAAATATCCTTTAGGGCCTGTGTAGATGGGCAAATGTGACATGCTTTTGGGTGCATTCAGCTTGCCTTTGGGATCAGCATAAGGTGTTTCTGCGATCCTTCAGAACCCTTTAAAGGAGAACTATGGGGTTAAGGCTTTTCCCCATAGTTCTCCTTAGGGTAACGGGAGGACACAAACTAGCGTCCTCCCGTCACCCTAGGCTTAGTATATAGGGAGCTACAGCTCGCGGTATACTGAGACGCCGCAGCCGGGACGGATCCCGACAATTGTGCCCCGGGATCCGCCCAGCTGCGTGACTGACAGCTGGCTTTGCCTATCTAGAGGCAGAGCCAGCTGTACCCGCCCCCTCCCCCGTCCGTTCCGCCAGTCAGCGCTGGCGGATCGGAGCGGGGAGGGGGGAATCCAGCCCCTCCCCTGTCATGGCGGAGAGCTGTGACAGGATCGAGAGGTGAGCGGACGCCGGTATGTGCTTGCTCACCTCCCGATCTACTGAGCCGACCTGTGACAGTCTCATTGTCACAGGTCGGCTAGAAATAGGAGGTGAGTGAAAAGCACCACCTCATAGTTCTCCCAATTGGTGCTGACCTGCTTCTTACTTCTGCTTTACATCAAGCAATTTTGGAATTTCTATGTATTGTATGGGGAGAAAAACCAATTCTGACATGAACAAATGCCCATGTACACAAACCCTATTGCTGGTGTCTATGGATGATCTCAAGTTCGGATTGAACCCAGACTGCACCTAAGGTCCTCTGAACCCAGACAGAAGATCCTTCCACTGCCTCCAAATCAGCTGGGGGCCAGGAATTTTCCCAAAGGGGTGGGGTGCTGTTATGTCATTGACCTTATATGGCCATACGGCTATATTTGGTCAATGACATTGACCTATTATGGCCATGTGGCCATATAAGGCCAATTATGTCAGCACAAGGTTCCCGCCCTTTTGTTTATGTAGAGCTGCGGGGAAGGTAACACCCTAGCTTGCAGCTGCTTGGGTGCATGGCCCCATGTCACTTCCGGGTTTGGTCGGAACCTGAGCTCATCTCTACCTGTGACTTCGGTTTTTGGAACAATCTATCCTAAGGCCTTGTTCACACCAAGCGCGGAGCAAGTGCAGAGCAGTTACAGACCGGAGCAAAACTGCGTCCAATGTATTACAATGGTATTTTTAGCTCCAGTTCACATCGCAGCGTTCAGTTCCAGAGCAGGTAAAAAAACTGCAGCAGGCCCTATTTTACCTGCTCTGGAACCAGTGGCGTAACAATCGCCATAGCGACCCAGGCGCCTGCTATGGGGCCCGTGCACAGGGGGGCCCGGCCAGGCATCCCTCTGATGCCGTGTGGGCCGCCTGGGTCGCTATGGCGTCTCGGGTGCTGGCTGTCACTGACATAGCTCAGCAGCTGCTGTGAAGGAAAACGTTCCCACTCACAGCCGCTGCGGAGCTGTCAGTGACAGCCAGCAGATGCGGCAGAATAGGCCGGTTACACCGGTGTTCTATCGATAGTCCAAACTTATCGAGTTGTGGGACCCGCATGACTTCCGGTCCCAGAACTCGATAAGTTCGAACTTTCGACCGATCACCGGCATTTGCAGCAAAGAAGGAGGCGGGGCCCGCCTAACAGCAACCCCGCCTCCTCTCACATCACTGGCCAGCGATCTAAGAGCAGGTGGGGCCAGTGATGTAAGAGGAGGCGGGGCCCGTCGATAGAAGGAGGCAGAGCCCGGGAACGGAAGAGGAGGCAGGGGCCCGGCGGCGGCGACCACGGAGGTGACAGGTAAGAAGCGTACAGCGCTGCTGAGACCTTGCAGAGCCCACCATAGAGAGTCTATGGTGGGCTCTGCAAGTGGCATAACTAGCAATCACGGGGCCCCATACAGAATTTTGCTATGGGGCCCTGTGATTTCTAGTTACGCCCCTGTCTGGAACGCATGCAAACGCATCAAAAACACCTGGAACGCACTGAAAGCCCATTTTAAACAAAAATATATATATATTTTAACCAAAAACGTCCCGGAACGTATAAAAAAACGCGGCACTACGTGTGCAGAAACCCGTGCAGATCTGCTCTGCATTTGGTGTGAACAAGGCCTAAAACTTCTTAGTATTCAAGCTAGGTATTCCTATCCCTTCTGTCACAAGCCAAAGAGGTTGTGCATCAAACTAGTGGAAAAGCCCCTGGAAAAGCACCCTGATGGGGACAAGGGCCTCTTCCCCTGGGGGGGTTGGTTGTGGGGGTCTGCGGCAGGGGGGATTTTTCACATCAGGGTACCCCTATAATAAAGGGGCACCCACATGTCACCTCCTCCCCCCCCCCCTTATGAATGAGTAAGGGGTACTTGTTCCCCTACCCATTCACTAAAGGGTTAAATAAATTTGTAAATAAAAAGTCCAGACTTTTGAAAAAATCCTTTATTTGGAAAACAAAAGACATGTTTTTGACAAATCTTTTATTAAAAAAATTATTAAATTGTAATCCAACATCAATCACGATGTCCAGCGTTGTCGACGACGACTCTACAAAAGAAATAAATAAATAGAAACAATAAAAAAAAAAACGAGGACCGCCTCCCCGTTCACTCGCGACCAACACCCGCCCGCATAATGGCATTTTGACAGATGCCGGTAACATGTAAACATTTGGGCGGGGGTAGCGGTGACAGCTTTACAGTTGTAACAGGGTGAGACATGATTGGG